AAAAAAGGAAATGTATTGTTGTATGGGCTTGCACAGAGAATTTTTGACAAAGAAAATATGCTGGGGATTAACATAAAAAAGCAAGGAAAAATAGTAAACTCCCACAGCTATCAGATGAAATGGCCTTGCTCAAGCAGTTGGGCTATGGATTTACTTTTTGTCTTGGTGCTTTAAGACTAAATAATAATAACAATAATAATCACTGAACAACAGTGTCATAAAAGGCTTACAACGATTGAAAAATGAGACATAAATGAGAACACGTGTTAGAAATATCTGAGCACAGAAAAATGTTAAGTATACTACCCAAACATTTTAAATGGTCAATATCTACTTATCCTAGAAAACAAAGGTATCTACTGACTCTTTAACAATTACAGCTTTACCAATACATCATTTCTCCTTCCTCATAGATATAATTGTCTCTTTTCTTACATAACTCAATCAGGGAAATTCCTTATTTTCTGATTATTCTTCACCTCAAAACCACCACGCTAAATTATTTCCTTCCAACATCCTCTTATACCACTTATGTTTTACTCTGATGTACTGTCTCATTCCTTCGTACAGACAAATAAACCCTATATGATTATGGTGATGTTTAGTTGGATGCTATTGAAAGAAAAATTTTTAATACTGTCTGTGGGATATTTAACACTTGGTGTTAAATATCATACTATGATATTTAATAATATATTTTAAATATTATATAAATTAAAATATCGAGAACAATAAACATTACATTGCTTAGTTTGGATGTAAGAAGCAGCTATGCAGAAAGGCCTGAATACAAATTTCTTGTAAGGAATCCTGATTATAATATTGTTTTTGAAAGAAAAATGGAAAACTGTACCACCTATGTCACAAAAATGTCTCTTAATGATAAAATGCATTTTCTATTATACAAATGCAATAAGGTATTTTATTTTTAACAAATGTTAATTGTATAATATGAGACTATAGGAGTGTTTATTATGTGCATATGTGTGTAGAGTAATATGTGTTACATGCTATTATAATTTTTAAAGTTATAGGAATAATTATTGGAGGATTTATTACTCATATAAAGAATATGAAAACTGTAGAGATAATAAGAATACTAACAGCATGATAGGAAATAGAAAAATATTTTCGATCCATTGTGACCATTGTGATGGGTTTTGAAAATTTTTGGAAGGAATGTGTATTTGAAAACTATTTGAATTATGGACAGAAGTCAATATCATTTGAATTTTAAGAGACTATCACAATACACGAACTAAAGAAAGGACTTCCAGTTTAGCGATACATATTTAATCTTAAGAGCAGGTGAGAATTGGGAGTACATCAATAAGCATATATAGGACGAAGAAGGACATTTGCATACAGGTATAACATTACTGTAAAGATATCCATGAATATAGTAGAGATCACAGGATAAAAATATAAAATCTTCTTGGACATAACCAAACATCTTGAAGGTATGAATGACTAAGCATGGAGCCTTAGCACCATAGTTTCTTGGGACACAAAGTTAATTAACATAACATAGTCCACGAAGACAATGCTATACATCCTACTTTTGTGAATAGCAACTGAGGTCTTAAAACATTCTGAGCTTTTAATGTATAACTGTTGGTCTCTTCCATTCTGGGGGATAGAAAAGTGAAGAAAATCCATTGGACTAATGAGCCACTTGAACATCTAGATGGTGCCTGATGACCACTAGCAACTACTCTGAAAGAGCTCATACTAGAAGACACTGGGCAGAGTGGGGACAGACAGATGTAGAACAAAACACAGAATCATAAATGATGACTCGATTTATGCTCGTAGAGACTGGTGGAACTCTTGAGACCACAGTTCTTGATCACCTTTAAGGTCTGGGAATAAACTCACCCCCATAGTTCAATTTTCAGTACACAATATACAGGTTTCTAAGGGGAACAATAACAGTGGGAAGCATGCACACCTTAGACTAATCAGCAATTTGAAATCAATGGGGCACCATTTGCCCAGGAACAAAGCTCAGAAGGGTGAGAAAAGAAGGAGGCATGGAAGCAGGAAACACAGGGAGGAAGTGGGATAGGTGGTGTAGCATTGTGGGGACTGCAATCAATAAGATGAAACAAAACTTGTATGAATTGTTGAATGGAATACTGACTGCTTTGTTCTATGTATCTTCACCAATGCACAATTTTAAAACTTTTT